GCTATACCTTAAGTTTGATGCTGAAGCACGTCAAAATGTGTCAATAAAGTAGACATTATTTAAGAACCTGTTCAATAGCGAGTCATGTTTTCTAGTTGTTTTGCATGCAAGTTTGATTTGTTTATACGAAAAAGCGTCCTGCTATTTGAGCAAAAGGGAGTGATAGCAACACCGAAACTGCTCTACTTTGTACAGTATGGTCTAGACGCAAATGCTGTGTATGAGTAACCCAGGACCAACTGTTTCTTCATTGCCAGTTTGAGATCTGAAGTCCTTCTCATGATCGTGCTTGTTATGTCGTAGTTTGACGAAACTGTATGAAGCACGAAAGCGTTATAACTATGAAGCCTTGACAAAGTGCATACTATGATGTAAGCAGTAACAGTAACAGGGGTAAAGCACTATCCAACCTATGATGTATATACCCAGGATTTAGACATACACTCTTTCAACTGTTCACTAATAAAGCAGATCAATTTCATTTTCGCGCAAAAATGTAAAAGATACGAAAAATTATAGTCAAAACTGAAATTTGCATAAGCAATAGCCAAAGTTTGGCTTTGACAACAATATGTGCGAGACTAATTAAGAAGCTAGAATCTCGTCGCCAAGCATAACTATGCCAGCCCTTTAGCAAGAGATGCACAAATTCTCATTGTGAAGCGAATGCACTAAATTGTATTCAAAAATGCTCCTTACAAAGGAAAAAATGTAATGAAATACTGATTCTACATCTGTCTTCCAAATCTACAAAATGTTTCTAGAAGAAGTTATGAAAGCTCTCTATTAAAATGGCTTACAGGCCTTGAATTGGATTGGAAGTCCACTTTACAAAAACAGCACCGCGAAGACTGATTGACAAATACATGTCCTTGCGGAGCAATTATTGGCGAGCCAAACAGGCTAATTTTAGCACAGAAAAACTTTCAGAACTTCCTGAAAGAATGCCTTGCAGCTGGACAGCAGATTTGAAATTAATTTTTGAAACTGCATTTATCATTATGCATCGCTTCCTGGATCCCTACTTCGAGAATTCTTCTCTTAATTCCTTCTGTACTGTGTGAGCGCAACTATTAGGGCACCGGATATATGTGCGTTATCTTAATCACAATCTTCTGTGCATCTTTTCTGAATTTTTGCTCAATTTTGCATTCTCAGTCTGTTTTTCAAAAGTTTCAGAACATTTGCCTATGGACTCTCATCTTTCATGATTTACCTGTTCCTGCTCTTGAATTGGCTTCCTCTAACAGCAAATACAGAAGAAAGTGAGCTCACTAACGTGCAAAAGTGTTTATTTCGCTGCACTGCTTTGTGCAAAGCTATGCAACAGGTTTGTTTGTTTTCAGTACTTAGAAATCCCTGCGCAAGTCATAAGGTTTTGAAGCTTGGCGCTTTACTTTGATATGTGTTTTAATTCAACAGGATAGTTCCTAAAGAGTAAATATCAATAGCAAAACTACATTCAATCTTTTGGAACAGGAAACTTACCCTTTCGAAAGAATGCAAAAGGGGCGGAGCTTGGAGTTAACAGGCTGGAAATCTAAAAACGCGTGGGAGATCATTTTTACACAGCACGATTTCCTGAAATTCATGATTTGACAGAAACAAGATGCGAGCTATTCAGTTCATGTCAAAAGAAAATTCGTCTTTAGTCTTGGTACATGTTAGAAAAATGTTCAAATACGCTTGCGGCAGCAAAATTTTTGACGATGATTTCTTTTGAAAAATTTTTGTTGCATCGTTCTAAAAGTA